CGGCACCAATGCCACATGGTCTGAATTATAATAGCTATATATAGGTACGCTATTATGATATCTGGTAGAGCGACTCCTCTTCAAGAGCTACTTTGATATTCTTGGCTCTGCATTTCTACATAAATTTTAAAATCAACTTGTCCAGTTACACACACACGTCACTATGGGGTTTTTTATTGGAATTTCACTAAATCTATAGATCAATTTGGGTAGAACGGATGCCTTTCCAGTCCTGAGTCTTTCAGCCATGGACATGGCACATCAGTACATTTAGTCAGGTTGTCTGAAACGTCTCAGTAAAATTCCATATTTTTTCTATAGAAGGCTTACTCTTTTGTTTAATTGTTAAGTACGTCATATTACTTGATACTATTGTAAATGGTGTATTATTTCCTTATTTCACAACATGGAATGGTTATATTCATTTTTATTTGGAATCCAAATATCTTGCTACATGGAATACATTTTAAGTGGAAAGAAATTTCACTCACTTTCCCAAATTAACTTGTCACTCGTGAAAACTTGATTGTCTCTTTGTACAGTGTATGGATCACCTGGAAAGACCACCTGGTGGGATTGATGGTCACTGGTTAAGAGCATGGACTTTGGATTGAGCTATGTCTGGGTGAAGTCCCAGAATGGTTACTAGCAGCTGTGAGTATGAGCAGGTGACTAAACTTACATCACATTTCCTTTTTCTGTAAATACACAAATTAAAATATTCTGCCTATTAATATTGTTTTGGGGATTAAATGTTACAATGTATATAAATAGCTAAAAAGCACATAACCCGACACATAGAAATGTTGACTAAATGTTGACCAATATTAATCATAATGATTCCTGCTTGCTTTGTATTAATTATGTTGCACATAAGTCTTAACCAACAGGTTTACTTTTCCTCTTAAGCATTTATTTTTTTACCCTTTCTTTTCTCCTATAGTTTTCATAATTTTTCTCAAAAACACAATCACTCTCTCATCTTGCTCTAAATATTCTTTTTCACCTTCCTTTTAAAATCTTACCACTAACTCAATACACTCAGGTAANCTTTCTTTTCTCCTATAGTTTTCATAATTTTTCTCAAAAACACAATCACTCTCTCATCTTGCTCTAAATATTCTTTTTCACCTTCCTTTTAAAATCTTACCACCAACTCAACACACTCAGGTAGGAAAACAGAATATTTTGCCCTTGAATGTCTCATTTCCCTCCACAAGAACATTTATTCTATCTTACAAGTTATCCCCAAATCAAAATAATAGTTAAAGTATTATACTAGGGTTATGCAAGATGTTTACAATGGGGAGAACTGGATGAAGAGTACATAGGGTCCTCCCATACTTTTTTTGGTGCAACTTCTTGTGTATATGTAATTATTTTTAAATAATCAAAAAAATATTTCTGTAAGTTCTCTTGACCTTTTTTTCGTTCTCTTGAACCTGAGATAAACTCACCCCAAATTTAAAAACTGCACATTCTTAGGGTTCCCAGAAACCCAACACACTTAATTGGGTTAAAGAGACACCACACCATCATTACTGATGATTTTCTGCCATTTTCCTGATCAGACCCCCATAGAAAAGAATAAGTAAATACACACATACAAGAATTGAGTGAGAGTCAATAATTACACTATAAGCGGCTGTTTTGTTTTCTTGTTCTACATTAGCTACATCAAAACAAACCACACTAAAAATTAAGTATCAAGATAATCTTTGGTCATTTAATTTACTGATTCACAAATTTGACTGGCATTTTTGGTTTTCTGTGACAGTTTTTAAAAGAATAGTTTATTGATGTTGAGAGAGAGAAGAATGGAGAGGGCGAGAGAAATAGAAACATGGGTCCACTGCCTCCTGCACGCCCCCTACTGGGATTGAGCTGAAACCCAGGCACGTGCCCTGGCTGGGAATCAAACTGGCAGCCCTTCGGTGCACAGGACTATGCCCGACCGAGTCACAGAGGCCAGGCCTTCAGCAACATTTTAAAAACAAATTGTTTATTATGAAAGTAATATACCTCTATTCACTGATAGCAAACAGACATCATACAAAAATAAATAGAAAACTAAAATTCAAATTTAAAAAAACTCAAATCATATATGTAGCATTAAATTTAAAAAAATAAAGGAAGTTATCTGGAATATAGAAATAAGCAAGAACACAATGCTTTTAAGTCCATTAATAGTCTTGATAAAGTAAAAGAGGACATCACATCCAGAAAAATGTGCTGATTTAAAAATAAAATAGACTCACAGAAAATAAAGACACAATTTTAAGAAATGGAAATGGTATTCTATATAGCAGAATGGACACAGCTAAAATATGATTTAGGGAGCTGAGAGGGGTTATTCTTGGAACACAATACACACACACCACTATACGGTACAAGAAAAGAGAAGTCTTGGATAATAAGCGTGGAAGTGCTAATATCCCCTACGAGAGTATTAAAAAGAGAGCGCCATACAGTGGGTAAGAGGAAATGCTCAGGCACATAAGAGAGAGACCGTCTAATCAACCCTACTTCAGGTGCATCTTGAGAAGGCAGATTTCTTTCGAAAAGACAACAATGTTGGGGAAAATAGCAGGCATCAGGGAAAGAAGAAGACCGAATATGAGCCTACGGGAGCTGGGCAGGGCTGCTGAGGACAAAACTTCGTGGGTGTCACTCATTCATAAGGTCACAAGGAGTTGAAGCTGACTCAAGGGCATATAGCACACATGAGAGAGAATGTTCAGATAAAAAATAATACTAATGACAGCTAACACTTATATAGTGCTTACAGTATACCAGGCCCTGGTCTAAGCATTATCCATAATTACAATATATAGAGATATATACATAGATAGAGATGTATACACATAGATACATATACATATACGTAGTGTAATTCACTATAATAAAAGTATTATCCCTGCTTGATAAATGAGGAAACGGAAGGAGACGGTTGTTAAGTAACCTAGCCAAGCTCACACAGCCCACAAGTGGGAAATAGGGAGTAAAACCTAAGTCGTCTTGCTTTAAAGTATAGAATCTTCACCACCAAACCCTCAAGTCTTACAATTAAAAGAACCTCTCATTAATGTGCTAAGCAACATGAATTTAAATGATAAAAAGAAATTTTTCAAAGCTATCAATGGAAAGAGGAAAGGTTTCCCTGGAACAAAAAATAGATTCCTATTAGACTTTTAATTGGCAACACTGGGATCTAAGAAGATAATAAAACAATAGCTTCAAAGTTCTGAAGAACATATGAAGTATCAGGAAGAAGTTTACCTAATATTAATTACTGTTATTTTCAAATGGTGAGGTTGGGGGTGATTTTTTATTCTTTATAATGAACATATGTTTCTTTGAAAACAATAAAATTATTGTTATAAGAATAAATACATTCACATGGACTAAATTTCCTAAATATGAAAAATGCAACTATAAATGTACTAGATAAATAACAGTACAATATTTTCTCATTGGAGGAGATGTGGATAAGAAAGATTGTCCAAAGAAAGATTTTTTTTTTTTTAAATAGAAAGAAGCCATAAAGGAAAAGATTAGCAAATTTTACTACATAAAAAATGTTAAATTCTGTTAGGACATAAGTTAAAAGATATGTGACAGACTAGAAGAAGATATTTGTTACATATATAGCAAACCAAACTTAATATTTATAATATAAACAGTTCCTATAAATCAATAAGAAAATTTTTTTAAAAGCACAAAAGTGAACAAGACATACAAATAGGCAATTCACAAAAGTACTAATAGCCAATACCCACTCAGCCCTTCTAGTATTCTTGGAAAAATACATATTAAGTANTTTTTAAAAGCACAAAAGTGAACAAGACATACAAATAGGCAATTCACAAAAGTACTAATAGCCAATACCCACTCAGCCCTTCTAGTATTCTTGGAAAAATACATAATAATGTATCATTTTTCACCCAACAAACTAACAGAAATTTAAAAGATGAATAGTACATAATATTTTCAGGAGTAGGAAACAGGCAGTCTTGCCCATTACTGAAGAGGAAGTAAATGGTACCTTTTGGAAGGGCAATTTTATAGTATCTGTCAAAGTTAAAAATTGTTTGGTTGTGTTTCTAGACATCTCTTTTATGGGAATACTTACTTAGGTACCAAAACAAGTAGTGCAACATTGCTTAAAACACTAAACATTGCTTCACACAAGCGCTGTTCATTGGATAGGACTTCCTCAGATGACAAGCACCCGAGCCCAGAATGTCTGGATATTTCACTCTTAATTGCTAGCCACACAAGAGAGTCTAAAGGCAATGTCTGACTCCCACTCCCCTTTTCACAGAGATAGAGTCATTTCCACAATAAACAGTCCTTGGAGAAACAGCTTACTGATGGGCTTCATCAACTAGAGACTGACCCCCAGAAGCTCCCACACAGCAGCTGCCAAGATTTCTGTAATCAATACTAGAGGCAAGGATTTTCCATGTTTTCCCAAATCCGATAGAATATAATGTAATATCTATCATATCATATCAATCATATCATATCATATCATATCATATCATCTTACATTCCATACATGCTCACAATATTGCTATTTTCATGCACGCATATGCAGTGGATGGGTCATTCCTTTGTTTTTATTCTTAATAAAACTGATATTCAGTTCAACAATTAATGCTAATCAATGAGTTGGGACTGAGACCAACAAACTGGAAAGTAGTAGTAATGAGTAAGCAGGATGTTGTGTTGCTTCTTTGATCAAAACAATGGATCCTCATGCTATTTCTACCATCTCTAAAGGCAAGAAACAGAATCCCAGCAGAAGCATGAAATAGTGTTTGGATTCCCATAGTCCCACCTACTTTATTTACAACTCCCTTCTTCATCCTTCCTGCCTTTCCAGATGGCTTTCTTCTTTGTTTCCTACACTGAGTTATGCTCACTGCCTTTAAGATGCTAAATACTTCAAAAGCCTTCCTCTTTAGCTCCTCACCAACAGAAGTATAAATGCTTACCTTTGCCGAATTATGCTGGGGTTAGCTGTCACTAGATGACTTTTGGATCCAACATCTTTAGTGTATTCGTTTGACAAGGGAGGAAGATTGCATCTAGAGAAACAAAAGCAAACATTTTAGAATGGTTTACCTACTTTCAAATCGTCAGTTATCACAACAAAGAGGAATTTTACTAAGCCTAGCTCAATTCACAAATAACTTTTGGTCACCTCTCCCTTTTTAACGGGCATCAGATGACTATCAGCATCTTCAAAACACTGTCATAAGAACTAGCCCTGTTCTAGAGGAAAGAAAACATCAGTGGAGAAGTAAATGACCTATGGAAGGAAAGAGAAATAACTAGAATGAATTTATTCCATTCAAAATATTTTTGATGTGGGAAGACAGGAGTATTAGACTTGAAATTACAGCTCAGGATGGTGTGGTACACTAGAGGCACAGGGCCTACACTGTACTCTGCATACCTATAAACCTCAAGAGACAGGGAGGAATTGTATTTGTTTATATTTTTCCTTCTTTTTCCAAATTCTAAAATATAATAGCACATTCAGGGCAAACTCTGCCTTGAATGTACTATTATAATGTGCTAAGTCAATGCATGTCCCACTTTTGTGTACATGACCTATGTATGGGTTGATTACTGGTGATGTTACAATGATATGTCATCTAGAGAAATGCAATGATGCTCCACCATCCCAGTTCAGCCAAGGGAAAGAGTATATAGGTGACATTTTCCTGGTGATGCAAACAGCTCTCACACACACACCCACACGCACACACACACACTTGTTTGCTTTCCGTGGTCACAATGTCTTATAAATGTTTACAATGGAAAACACAGCAATTGCAAATCCAAATCCCATGGCTTTCTACCAGTGGAAAATTAGAGAAATCAATTCATCTGCCTGGCCTGTTTCCCCACTACACAAAATGAGTTCAGTGTCATTTCCTTTCTAATAAGGTTGTTATAAAGACTAAACAGAGAAATGTATAAACAATCCCTACCTTTATGTCTCACGCATAGTAAAAGCTCAAAAATATCACATACCAGAAATAGTATATCAATACAATTAAATGTACATCTATTTCTTATGACAATCCCAAAGGAATCTACAGTTTCCAATAGGTTTTATTTTATTACTGGGTCCTAATTTCTCCTCTCCACCCATATCTCTAACCTGACTTCTACCTCATCAGAGCATCACTAACTTTTTATTACTTCAACAAACTAAAACATTGTTTATTTGTAGGTAAAGAGGTCTTACAAATATTGATGTCTTCGCAGTTCCCCAATGAATAAATTTTTCCTACAAAGTTTTGCCAGGACATGAACTTGCCTGGGCGCCCACTCAGCTGATCAGCTCAAGTTCCCCGACGCTATCTCTTCTCCACCCTGTGACTCCTACCACATCAGGGCATCCTAGGTGGAGACCTGTCTCAGTAGATTTAGAATCTTCCTTTCATCTGTTCTTTGATAATGAGATACTGGTTCTTTTGGCAGCTACCCACAGATTAGTCATCTAGCCAGTGACTTCTGCTGAGTGTCCATTGAGAACAAACACAGTGGGCACTGTGGAGAACCCAAGGGAAGCCGAGTCATAGAGCCTACTCCTCAGACGTCTCCAGTCTAGCGGTCACACGACATCCCTTGTGGTTTCTGAGGACCCTCGTGAGGGAGTGAGCTAATGCCTTAAGCAACCAGGCTAGCCCAGCAGTGGTGCTCACTCTGGTCTTGTGATTTAATTGATCTTTGCAGACATGAAGATGACTTCCAGGATAAAACACCGGCTAAAATTTGCACATTTGTCTCTTGAAGAAACTTTGATCTTGATGGTCCTACGTAACATTCAAGAATCAGCCAGTTTACATTAAAACTATGAACTCTGAATATTGCTAAGGAGTACTGTTNATATTGCTAAGGAGTGCTGTTTACCTACTTCATCATTATTAAACGAAGCAAATACTTTGTTTTTCTGTGTGTTCCTTGTGGTAGATCTATGGCTCACATGCCTAGGTTCCTTTGTACCTCCTACCACAGGGTAAAGGCTCAAGAAAAACATGCAGATATTGACTGCTAAATTCTACAGCAAGGGGAAATGCTTAATACAATAAAGATAATATTTTATAAATGCTTTCCTGTAAAATAATGAAGTTATATTTTGGTGTGAATATCTGCTTTAAGTTCTTCTGGGTGAACTTTCTCTTCAAGTGCAAAAGTCTGTGACACTTCCCCGTAGCTCCTTTCTTTGAAAAAGCACACTATCATTTCAGCTCCTCAACTCCTAAGTTGGAAATTAATTACATAGATTTACATAAAAGGCACATTTAATACAGTCAAGTTGTTTCTAATAAGGCATAATTGTATAAAAGTGTTTCAAATTTTGCATTATCGCTTGTTGGCACAATTAACAAATATTAATGGCTAAATTGTCTTAGTAACTATGCTCATGAATCGAAAAGATGTTATCACAGAACTAATGAAAAATGAAATATTCTTTCAATTGGGGAGTGGAGGTAGGTGGGGAATAGGCTTGGTGGACATGAATCTTTAAACAGAAAAAAATCATGAAGTTACTTTTTAAATTTTATGTATACTTAGGTATGCAAAACACACACTTGAGCATAAGTCAAAGGCACCAAAATTACGTTGCCCTCACTTGTGTCCCTGAGCCACCCAATTCCTCTCTAAGATGCAATCACTCTTATCTCTGTCTTGCAGGCCTTCCAGACAAGTTTTATCCTATATTACTTTTCAAAGTTTTGTTTTTTGTTATGGAGCATGTTTACTTTGAAAAATGGGAAATTGATTTTTAGCATTAGAAGTTGTGTTTGAAAATGTCTAAGCAAAGAAAAGTATAGCGCTGTTATACTCTAGTCCAGAAAGACATTTCTAACTGAACTCTGGAATGTCACTGTGTGCAGGTAAGGCCACAAATGTAACTGTAACTTTAGTCTAAAATAGGCATACTATGTCCTTTTAATAAGATTTACTCACCAAATGTTTAATCTTGAATCTATGCTACTATCTCAGTTTCCTAAGAGTACCCCAAAATGTGTATTAAGCAGCCATTTATAAATAGATCTATAAATGGTCAAGTCAAAATAATTTTAAAACAACTTATCAACATTTAATTACTTCCATATTGTAAACCATAAATAAGGCTTTTTAAAAATTCAAATGTGTTAAGAAAATAGCATTATTCTTGCAATTAAACCAAAGGCACATGCACACATAGCTCGATGCTATCTTCGAATTCTTTTCAATCCTCACTGCCCTCATCTGTCTCTGAACACTATGCTTCTTCATACTATGCTGGGCATTCTAATCACGGGAACTCATTAATTCTGAACTTGAATATATCAACACCAGATTGTATACAAGCAAACTTAGCCTGGTTTATTAGCAATAAATATGCCCCCACTAGATAAGCCCCTAAGATGTTCAGGCCTAGCCTTCCACATGTTACCTTTAAAATATCCATCTTCCTGCCCAGCCAGGAGTGGCTCAGTGGTTGAGCGTTGACCTGGGATCCAGAANAGGCCTAGCCTTCCACATGTTACCTTTAAAATATCCATCTTCCTGCCCAGCTAGGCGTGGCTCAGTGGTTGAGCGTTGACCTGGGATCCAGGAGATCGGGGTTCGATTCCCGGTCAGGGCACATACCCCGGTTGCGGGCTCAATCCCCAGTCAGGGGCATGCAGGAGGCGGCCGATCAATGACACTCTCATCACTGATGTTTCTCTCTNGCCGATCAATGACTCTCTCATCATTGATGTTTCTCTCTCTCTCTCCCTCTCCTTTCCTCTCTCTGAAATCAATAAAGATATATTTTTTTAAAAAACCACTTAAAATAACCAAATGGATATATATATATATACATGTGTGTATATATACGTATATGTGTATATGTATATGTATATGTATATCTGTGTATCTCCATCTTCCTAAATNGTGTATGTGTGTATGTGTATGTGTATATGTGTATGTGTATGTGTATATGTATATGTATGTATATCCGTGTATCTCCATCTTCCTAAACGTAGGGGCACACACATATGCACTCAGGAATAATAAAAAATGACATTTATTATACTGCCTCCTTCTGCATTGTCTTAGGACTTCTTGAAGTCACTTAAGTTCCCTGAATCTGTGAGTATAATGTTATCCGTTCCCTCTTCCTTACAGTTTTTGGAAAGAGCAAGTAAATTTATAATCAAGAGCATTTGGAAAGTTTAAACTTGACTGCATGAACTGGGTCGCAATTACACAGTATTCACACGATCGCAGACAGAACTGGAGTTTCTACAGTGGAAAGGCCTGAGGAACTGACTGCTCTCGCCTCCTCAAATTCATCAGGAAGCTGAGCCCCAGCCAAGGTAAGNTGCTCTCGCCTCCTCAAATTCATCAAGAAGCTGAGCCCCAGCCAAGGTAAAATGACTTACTGCAGATGACAGAGCTAGTCTGTGGCAATGGCCTGCCCTCCTACCTCTCTCTTTTCTTTGCTGGCTTCTCAGCCTCTTCTTAATGCCAACGTATAGAAGTGAGTGCCTGAATTGGACCCAGGGTCTCTTTTCTTCTATCTGATTGTTTCCATTCCTACTGCTTGAATACACCTCCAGCCCCACCTCCGGCCACTCCCGACTCACGACGCTGAAGGCCCTTGGTGTCTTCCCCACATTAAAGCCTTGCCAAAGGTTGTTCCTGTGCCCAGGGTGGAAAGGCTCATCCCAGACATCACTTTCCTCAGAAAGTCCCAGCTCCCTCCACCCCTCCCTGCTGTCTGCCTCTGAATTATCCCCATCACAGCACTAGCACACCTCCAGCTTTTAAGCCCACAATAGAACTGTTCAACATACCATTTCCAGAGCCAGCTAAGGTGCCCAATAAACCGAAGTTAAACTGACTTGAATGAAGAGAACTGTATTATTGTCTCCATTTTCCTAATGTTTGTATATATTGCCAAAAAATTAATAATAATTGCAATAGAGAGGAAAATGCCATTCTACACTGGAAAAACCATGGCAGGACATCTTCCTGAAGGATCCTTGAATATAGAAAGATCCCCCATTCTGCTGCAGGCTTCACCAGTGAGATAAAAAGTTTAAGACGCCCAACTCTCGTTCCCTGAGAGGAAACCTGGTTCTCCCCCACGAACAGAGCCTCCCCTGCTCCACTAGCTCAGAGCTCAGAGGTGGTTTAGTGTTCTCTTAGCTACCTTTCCCTTTGAGACCATTACCTTAAAAATAAGCACAAAAGCCAAATCCACCTCCTTCCTTTACTCAGCCTTCCATCCTCTGAGTGCCTTCATTTTTTTCAGTAACAAATGTCTTCTTTTTCTACAACACATCTGAGCATCCCCAGAGAAGGTAAGCTCCAAAAGTATATACTCCAGCAGGCCATTCTTTGACATAAGCTCTTCCATCCCACCCTCCCCTGTCCTCAGCACACGCCCTCCAGGCTCTGAGTGACCCTATCATTTGGCCCCATTTGGCTCCCCCCTTCCTTTCTCCTTCATGCCTCTCAGGGCCCAGTCCCAACGTGTGTCGCTTCACCGCTCTCCAGCCAGGCTTCCATGTCGTCGCTCTCTGTCCTTCACTCCTTTCACTGAGATAATCCCCAACTTGTGTCAGTCCAATCATCTGGTCAAAATCGCCCCACAGTACAGGTGGTGCCACTGCAGCGGGATGGCCTCTGCCCTTGGCTGGCTGTGCCTTAGGAAGTCCTTTGCTCACTGCTGCAGAAGCCTCCAGTCCTCTGCAGGAAGCGATGCCCACGTCGCCACTCGGCCCAGTTCTTTATTCCAAGCTTACTCCTTGCTCAGATTTATCCCCTCTCCATCCCCCCAGTTTTCCTGTGAGGCACAGATCAAATCCCTCTTCAGATCCCACCAGCAACTTACAAATGCTTTTGTGAAAAACAGAGAAAGAAAACAGTGTGGCATGAAATGAGTAACTTAGAATATTTATTCACACAGAGTTAGTCTTCAGAACACTTTTTAAACTTCTAATCACCCGACTGTAATCTAAAATAAAATGTGCGTGCTTCCACTTTGGGGGTCTGCCCAGAATCTCCGAACCTTCCTCTGCTTTGTACTTTCTTGGGGCACGTCCCTTTGCTCCCCTGGCCCTCTCCTGAACTCCCTTGTATATGACCTTGAAGGGAAGCTAAAGGGCAGCTACCGCTGATTAATCACAAGCGACTAGTTTCCAAAGGCCCCCGGGCTTGGGGGGGGGTGGGGAGAAAAGGCAGAGGCCCGCTGTGGGCACTCTCTTACCGCATGACAAAATGAGCTTCATCTATGTGACGGCCACAGCCACTCTTCTTCAGAATCCCACCATTTCCCACCACCGCGCACTTCTTCAGGGGCAGCTGGAATGGGGTTGCCTAGCAACAGAAAACAAGCGGGTTTTCACTGCAGAGAACACACAACTGCTCACAAAATCATTGTTTACGGCCGACCCTGTGGAGAAATCTGACCGGAGATGGGGCCGAGGAAGGGAGCATATAGAAAGAAAGATGCAAGGAGTTTGTATGAAACAAGCTGCCCTGTTCCTTTGAAATTTAACACAAAAAAATTTAGCTCTCTGAAGTTTATTTAAATGAACACTTTTTTTTCCCCCCTGTATCAAATTGGCCGTGCACACAGTAGTGTCTGCTAAGGAAAAAAGAAAAATCCAAGCTATACACAAACATATTTTTAAAGGCATTAAGCTGGGAACCAACTCAAATGAATTCTATTCCCCGATTTGAATGCAATTTCATTCATTCATACAATCAGTCATATTCACTCAGCAAGCATTGCTGGGCATTTCCTATGCTAACTGTTGTGGACTGATACAAGGATACAGAAGTCACAGGCCTCAGGATTCACAATGTGGGACATGAGGAAAGTGTGCACATATATACTTATGTAATACACTCTAATGTAATGCTGAAATTGTTGTAGGAGAGGTGAGCTCCAAATGCTATGGAGAATTCTAAAGAAGTGCAGGAAGGCATTGCAGCCAAGTTGACTCAGGGAAGGCTTTCTCACTTAAAGGATGAGCTGTCTGGCCAGGCAGAGAAAGCAGCATAAACAAAGGCACAAAAGTGTGCTGAGAGCCAGTGCTGTGTTTATGAGCAACTGAACACGCTGGGTGGGTCTGTCTAGAACTTAGGAGGCACTGAGGGGCAAGTGACTTGTGACTGAACCAGACAGCATGTGACTTTCTTTCTGCAAACACTGAACTGGATTGCAAAAAAAAAAAAAGTTCACTGTGCCTGAGTGTTCCCTGAAGTGCTATTTATAGTACCAGGGAATATCCAAACCAAGCACTAGCCCCTGAAAGTGAAATGCGTCATTCGGTCTCTTTTAGCCAGATCAGCATGAACCACGGGTACAGAACTTCCTCTTGCTGAAACAATGCATAACCGTGGGAGCTTTTTGGGAGACCTTACTATACATGAGTGACACATGAAATAGCTATAGTGATATTAAGTAGGCCATCCTGAATGAATCTGAAGTAAATAACATGGATTATACCAAAAGAGTAAATGGGATAAATACATGAGTGTATACTACAAAAGCCTTGCCTAGGCATAAAACAATTAAGCCAAAAAAATTATCAGAGATATCACTGCACTCATGGGTAACTGAGGTAGGCTCCTGATGCAGCACAGAAGACAGTCTCCATTCCTGGGTTCCTAGTATGTAAAAGGAACAACCAGAGCTATGAAAATACAGTTGACAACGATATAGTACTTAAAGTGTAAAGTCTAAGCATTTGCCTGCAGAGAGTTAAGAATCCCCTGCATGAGCACAGCAGAGACCAGTCCAGTGGACTCCAGAGCAGGACACAGAAGAGGAATGAGCAGTTGGCCAGCACATCCAGGGTGATCCAGAGTGATATGTGGCATTTTTCTCAGTCACTCCTGAGAGGAGACTTTGAAATCAACATTCAAAACACATTAGTTAGATCTACAAATTGTTAGAGATTTTCGTATTTATGCGCAAGTTAGCTGTTCATTAATTGCACAAGTATTTACTAATTCCAGGAATTGCCCTGGGTGACAGGGAAGTAAGTGATAATCCCTGTTCCCCTGGAGCTAACATTCCAGTGGGGAGACAGATGATAAAGATAAATGAGGAAAATGAACAGTATGCCAGGTGGTGACATGGGCTGTGGAGAGAAAGAAATCACTGGCATTAGGGGACCAGGAAATGCTCCTGAAGAGGAACTGTGATTTACACAGGCTGTCAGGGAAGAACTCAGAGGAAATGCGTAAGCAAACCCCTGAAGGAGATGAGCTCTGAGCCTTACTGATATCGTGGGATCCACTGGTGTAGACCTGGAGGAGGGAACATTCCTGGGGTTTGAAAGGAACAGCCAAGAGCCCATTGTGTCTGGAGATGAGTAAGCGAGGGAGACAAGCAGGAGAGGAGATCAGAGAGTGAACTGGTGGAGAGGTTGGGGAACAAATTCTGTAGGGCCTTGGAGGATATAGTAAAGGCCAAGTTTTATTCTAAGATGAGAAACAAGTTCTGAATGGTGAGCAGAGCAATGGCAATATGCCACATTTTGGAAAAATCACTTGCTGCTGTGTGAACAGGCTGGAGGATGTCATGGGCACAAAGCAGCAGACCATGAGAGACGAGAGATTTGGGTGGTTTGGACTGGGGTGATAGGAGCGGGGGTAGTGAAAAGTAAGCAGATTCTGGAGATATTTTAGAAGAGGAGCTGACTGGATTTGCTGATGTAATGGAAATAGGGTAAGAGAAAAAGAGAAATCAAGAAGCATGCCAAGGTTTTTGGCTTGAGCCACTGTAAAGATGGACTTGCCATTTATTGAGACATGGAAGATTACAAGAAGAGCAGGCTTTAGGGGAATGATCTGGAGCTTAATTAAAAAAAAAAAAAAAATCCCCACTCAGGGATACCTTTTTATTGATTTTAGAGAGAGGAAGGGGGAGAGACAAAGAGAGAGAGAGAGAGAAAGAAACATGGATGTGAGAGAGGAACATTGATCAGGTGCCTCCCACATGCACCCCAACAGCCCCGACTGGGGATGGAACCTGCAACCTACTCCAACGAACTGAGCCATACCAGCCAGGGCTGGAGCTTAATTTTAAATATACCAGGTGTGAGATGCCCATTAGACATTTAAGTGGCAATGTCAAGTGGGCAATTGGATATATGAGAATGCAGTTAGAAAACTGGTCTTTCCTAGAGATAGAACGTTGGGAGTAATCAGTATATTGTAGGTACTTAAAGTTAGGAGAATAAACGGTGAACAAGTGTAGACAGAGAAGAGGCATAAGACCCGAATCCTGGGGCACTCCTCGGGGGAAGGAGGAGAGAGCAGTAAAGGAGACTAAGAAAGAGCAGCCAATGGAATGGGGGAAAATCAGAGCAAAGTGTGGTGTCTTGGAAGCCAGGTTAAAAACCTATCTAGAGAAGGAAGGGGGGAAATTGCATAAGATGCTACTGATAGATTAAGAAAACAGCTAGCCCGGCCGGGCGTGGCTCAGCAGTTGAGCACTGACCTAGGATCCAGGAGATCACGGTTCGATTCCCGGTCAGGGCACATGCCCGGGTTGCGGGCTCGATCCCCAGTCGGGGGCGTGCAGGAGGCAGCCGATCAATGACAACTCTCATTGATATTTCTCTCTCTCTCTCCCTCTCCCTTCCTCTCTCTGAAATCAGTAAAGATATATTTAAAAAACACACAAAACAGCTAAAATTGCCACTGGATTTAGCAACATGGAGGTCACTGGTTACCTTCACAAGGACAGAAGACTGATCTGAGTTCAGGGAGTTATACATGTATATTTGCATATCTATTTGAATATACCATAGTTTATTTGAAAAGTGTGGGTTCGCTCATCCTCAACTAATATTTAGTTGGCTTTGTAAAAAGCAACTTACACCACCCCCCTCATTGCTGTTAGAGAGGCTCCAGAACCAGATTGACTGGCAAGCCCAGGTTTCCAGGCAAGAACCTGGGCTCAGAACAAGCAGATCTGGGAAGTGGCAGCAACAGCGTAAACCTGGGTACAAAACTCCCCCCTAACTTCCAGGTGGTGAGATTGTGGGATTGTGGGGCAAGCTGTCAGGCCCCCGGGCATGCTCCTCCCTGTCTCTAAAGGGGACAAAACTGCACAGGATTTTATGAGATTACATGAGATGATGTGTGTAAGGCACGTCTCAGAGCCACTGCACGGTCATCCACTCATCTTCCTTCACTTCTCTCATCCCTTTCCTCCTTCCAGCAGAGTTTCATGACTTGCCCAAGCCATGAAACACCTAGATTCCGTGGGTTTGGGGGAAACATGGTAAAAAAGTGATTTATCTATCTTAATTGGAATAATATTATTAGAACATTTAACTATTAAACCAATGAACTATAAAAAAAAAAAAATTTAAGCTCTCCAACAAAAGCCTAGCGAGAAAAACAAAGGCCATTCATTTCTGACTTTTTTCCTGGCAGCATTCATTTGTTACTTCATTTGGTCAACTGCTAGCCCTCACACAAGCAATTTCATTTCAATAAATATTTCTTAAGTGCCTGAGTGCACTCTTCCGGGCATTGGTAATACGCCAGTGGGCAATAAGGGATCACTGAAGCTTGATAGAGAGGAAAAATTTAATTGAGAAAACACTGTGGAATTTTTTAACTAATTGAGATAGTATCATTATTCTATTTTAGAGCACAACATCTCAGTGTGACAATGGGAAATGCTCATCAGAATGATGAATGAACAAGGTGTTTCCCTTTTGGGGTATACTACACAGAGAGGACTTTTAATCATACAGTTCCACATGGATATTATGATTTTGGCAAGGACTACTTTTATTAAGACACTCCATCCTTTCTTTCAAATGTACTTGCATGCATTCATGCAAGAAAATATCTATTGGATCTCAGAATATAGTACACTTTCCCTGCTAACCTGAAAAAATACTACTCTAAATGAAAGGATGAATTAGCCAGATTGACTATAGTAATAAGCTCAAAATATTGCTTGAGCACTAATTCATGTTATGGATCTTTGTCCAAATGTTTTCACTGATCACAATTATTCAATAAGATAATTATTTAATCAACAGATTTATGTTGATCATCTTACTGATTTTCAGCAATACCTGTCCAAAAGTGACATTTCCTTACGTGATAATGGATGTATAATTGATTCCCAAACTTAAAGAACAAGTGTGAGCCCCGCCACTGTCTAAATATGAGCAAATTAAGAAAGCCATTCAGAATCTCGCTTCTGAGATAGCCCTTAGCCATATCACCACCCACAGCCTACATCGCCTGTGCCTCTTCTTAAATAGCCCTGACGCCTAACTTTTCTTTTCATTCAACAACTATTTGTTGAGCACCTATTACGGTCCAGGAGCTGT